TGGGAGCCACGTCATACACTGACGACATCTCCGCCTTTCCACTCAGTTTAGGCGTCAGTAAAATAAATGTGATTAAAAAAATGTGATAATGTATCCGCTGAGATGCCTTTCGTAAAATATGGACAAACCAATGAGGTATGTGATTCAAGATGGTAGCAACTATTCTAATCAAATTTATATGCTGGTCATCTTCGTACGGCATTCTTTGTAGGCTAACTTTTTTATTTTTTTATAATACAATTATAGTAACGTAAGATTATGAAGGAAAACCATTCAATTTTAAAGTCGAGAAAACTGGCTGTAAAGAGAGAAAAACGCGTACTGATATAACGAATCATAGTGGAAATATCTGCTTATCGATTCGTGCATATTTGTTTAGAATTTTTTTTACGTTTGGGATACGGGATTAGTGAGGTGATATGACAGAGACAATATCAAGAATAATTAATCACTTGTTTTATAGAACCAATATCTATTCGATAATCAATCATACAATCAGTATCAGCTGAATCATTCGCACACAGATAACAGTTTTAATCCTTAATATTACACATAAACAATCAGAAGGGGATTTGTGGAGATTTCTCCACTGAAGGCAATTGGTGAAGTGTCGCTCATAATTCGTCGATCAGTTTGTTATATACCCCGGTGAATTACGAATGGTAACTTTTAGGTCTATTTATGGATCAATGTATTATGCCTATTTCCTATTGTACAATTATTACGTAACTGAACTATTCATATTCGTATTTCTTATCATTAGCTTTATTTTGACCTTGACTTATTATCATACGATTCTTGATCAGTTTATTGATTACTTTGGTTTGTATAAAAACCCAGTGTGTTTGTAAATAATGATTCATACCACTGAGGCTGTTATTGGTGTTTTGGACTTAACTGGCTGGGCTAAGCAGATCGCAGGACCGGTTAGCCCTCTAGTCTGCTCGTACGGGTTTCGTGTCACTGTTCCAGTCGATAATTCGCTGCTCTCTAATTGGCGGTCTCATCAAGTCACCCATTAACTAGTCATCCACTCGACCACAAGCATAACACAGTTGAAGTTAGACATTAACACCGTTGGATGCCGGCTCAGTGGTCTATCGGTTAAGAGCTCTGGCTCGTAACTGGTAGATCCTGGGTTCGAATCTCACGAGTGCGGGATCGTGGGTGCGCACTGCTGAGGAGTCCCATAATAGGACGAAACGGCCGTTCAGTGCTCCCAGGTTTTCGATGGTGGTCTAGCTTCAATTGACTCATGATTTCAACTTTGAAACATAAACAATAATTCAGTGGATAAATAATTCTATCCAGTGATTATCATTCATTCGGCATTTTGGGGAATTAGTTTCATGGAAAAAGCAGTTATTAGAGCAATTCGATTGTCCAAGGAAGATAAGATTTGTAGAACTAAATCATATCATTTTGGACTTGTGACCTTAACATCAACATTGTTTCAAATCAATAAAAAAAGAAACATTAAGAAATAAATATACCAGCTAATTTTAACTTGATAAGGGCAAATCTTTTTTTGTCATCCTATAGCAAAAAGGATAATGTTGAAGATATCAAATTATGGTCCCTTGTGCTACATAGATTGTGAATGACACTTAAATGAACGAGTTTTTATTATAGTTTACGTTTTTTTATAATAAACTTACAGGCAAATCAATTTATTAACGGTTCACTGATAATTAACGGAGCTAGTGAATTCGATAGGCTAAAATAGATAACTACTTCTATATTTGACCGCCCAATATTGTTGTCATACAAAATCCCTTACTCTTCACTGTGCTCGTTCATAAAGATTTCATAGACTATAACCAATATCTATAAAACTATGTAAGAGATTCAGAACACAACCTCTTGCGTGAATATTTTCTCATTCAGATAAACGAGATTATGTAGCGATATTTTCATGATATTGCAAGGATTATAAAACTGATCATAAACCATGAAACACTAACACAACACTATCTTAAAAGCAATTTACTCTACCAGATTTAATTAATTCTCTTTTGAGAAATAATTTTGATTGACGCAGACCCTTTGTTCATTGACTGGAAGGTAAATCCAAATTCGCATGGCCATTGTTAAAAACTATTTAAGTTTGTCCTTATATATTGTGCTTATTTCAAGTAGTAAATTTGTGAGAAAATATGAACAATGAATTAAAACGATGATGGAATAGAAAGATTATAATACTAGGTCTATAATAATGACAACAAAAAAGATTATGTCACTTTGACAAGGGGTGTACACAAAAAGAGTGCAAAATAAATCAGTTAACAGTGGATTTTCTATTTTGTGAATAGAAGTAAAATGATTGAAATGTTTGTCTTTTATTGTCACAATGAGTGACATTATCTGGAGTAGAAGTAGGTTAGATAGTTTGTAATGATGCAGATGCATCCATTTTTCATCTCCCCCCAACTTCTGAGCTTCTGAATTCCTTATAATTTTCTTTTTTGTTTTTATTTCAGCAATTTGTGTTTTTTTGAACCATATCTTCGATGCCTCATCCTTTTATTCACCATTCACACTGTCACAACCACAACTATTCTGAGATTTCCCTGACAATTTCATGTCCCTGTACAAATGGTGAATGGCAACTTAAAACAATGTACATATGTACCAGGTTCTACGTTCCAACTGACTGGCTTTCAGAGCGAATACGAACACATATTACAATACACTTCGACAAGGATGAGATGAAAGAGATTAACAGCTCCATACCTGAACATTTAATCACTCAGCTAGTCCAAATGTTTTCAAAACTTTTTATAAAATTCATTCAAACCTGTCAAGATATCTTCATATCCAACTCCTTAGAATACCAGAAGCACTTAGCATCTATGAAATGAACCCTGAACTTCATGCACACAGAAAGTAAACCTTATCCTTGTTTTTTACACTGATCTTAACCTATTATTAGTAACAATGGCTTTATTCAATATTATATTTTTGGTACAATATAGAATTCTCGGTACAAAGTATTTCAGCAAGTTTCCTTTCCTTGTTTATTGATCGATTCTGACGATAAGTATTAAGTGATCACCAGCTAGATGATAACATTTCAAGAATCGACATTTGAGTAATGTTCATCTTTTTCACTGCATATTTCCAACCACCACAATGTCTCTGAATGTATTTTTTTTGTAACTTGTACAGCAAATTGTCGTAAACTTTTCATAAACACGCCAGAATATGATGTGCGATTTGTAGACATAATGATGTGTTAAAACGAACAAAAACATAATTTGTTAAAATATCTAGATGGTAGGGACAGGTAGCTCAGATATTCGAGCACGCCGCCAGATAGGATGTTTCATAGACTTCATATTTGAAAATACTTCTACTCATTTTAATTACTCCTTATATTCCATTTGATTTTGTTCATGCATATTCCTGATGCCATTTCATTTTAATGAGTCCCTCTGAAAACATTTAATCAGTATGACAAAAAAACATCTTAATTATATTTTAATCCACTTACATTTACATTATAACTCCACCTGTAGCTCTCCTAGAGTTACTGCCGGTCCCAAGACCGGGTAAAGGAGGAAGGTTGGGCATGGAGTTAGCGACCCCATCCCGTAGAAAATCAACTCGCTAAAAAAACGCTAACCAGAAAATATATTTAAACCATTTAAACTCTGCCCTGGGAATTGAAGGAACAATTATGACGCCTCATGATGAAAACCGAAATTTTTCGGAACTCACGAGGCCGATGCACCTTCTAACAACCAGAGCAACACTCTTTATAGGTACTCTCTCCATTTACATTATGGAATTCATTGTTAGCGCACACACCTTTTTATTTGGCCATATTCTGTAAACGCAAAAAAGGCCTGTGAATATCAAGTACAAAAGAAATTTGAATCAGAAAAATAATAACAAAATGAATTGAAGAGAAAAGAACCAAATGGGATGAAAAAACAAACATACGGATATTTGGCAAAATATACATAATTTACAATGAAGCAAACACTCTAATAAAACAATAATGTTTCCTTGAATAGAACAATACAAAATAGTTAAAAGTACAAGTACTTTAATAATTAAAGGTACTGGCATAAAATACATACAGGAATGATTAAAAGTATACATGAAATGTTAATCAGCATTCATCCATTTCTAGTTCAGTTGTTTGAATAAAAGCATAGAAGTGATGAAAAGCAAAGAGGAAGTGACAATGTTATTTAACTTGACTAAGACCATTTCAATTGAGAATACATTAAGTTTGAAAACGAGAAGGAATGAAAAAGATGTAAAGTGTAAAATTAGGCATTGGAGGGGAAATATTAATATGAGGACTACAGGCTCGAAAAAGATAAGAGTGAAAAATAAAGAGTTACAAATGCCACTCAACTCATGATTTGGAGGGGAGAACAGAATAACTGAGCTTGTTTCATCTCATTAAATATTACCAATAATTAGTTAACAGCATTATGTGAGCCTTAAATAGAAAGTCTGCACCTAACGATATTGTTCAGACCAATAAACAACGATTAACAATCCAACTGTTATGACAGATGTTTATAAAACTCTAATACTTTTAGCCTATTTTCATAGTCTAAATAATGAACCGATATTAGCAAGACCATCCTTCAGGTAAGACATTACATCGTAGGATACTGGCTTCGTGGTCTAAGGATAAGACGTTAAAATGTGAGGCCGAAGGTCCTGGGTTAGGTCCCTCAGCTTCGGGATCTTGAACATATGCTGATGAGCGGTCCTATACAAAGACAAAACAGCCTTCCAGTTTTAAATAGTGATCCAGCTAAGGTCGGTTCATGATTTTAACTACGAAAATTCTATAATCTCCACAAATCCGCCTACGCTTCTATATAAACTGACTATGATATTATCATGAGCTGTTCCAGTTTCCGTATTGATAGGCCAAACTATGTATAACTGTTATTCTAATCATTCAAATAAAAAGACAATGCAGAATATCAAATTTAAAATAATTTATATTCAAGAATAAATCAACAGCTTACATTGATTTCTTGGTTTCTTTACAATTGTTGACGGTACTCGCATATTTATTCTCTTCCGTTAGTTATCCACGATGACGACGGTGAAGACAACAGCAACAACAACATCAACATTAAAGACAACAATAACGACACATTTACACAGTGGATTAATAATGTTAAACCCTAATTGGGAACATTAGAAAAAAAAAGGAATAAAAGTAAAGTCATTTGAATGAACATGACATAGACAGTATTGATGATGTAAAACTATGTGCTCACCAGTGATTAACTTTAAATTTGCATGAAAATTCGAAGAGGGGTGGCTCAGAGGCTAAATCATAAAAAATTCCGACACTAAGTGGCAGGTTTAAATCCCGCTCCACCTATTTCGGTCTGAAAGACCGAGTAGTGCATCATTAGCCCTCATACTTAGAGTAAACAAGCTAGTACCTGGTAAATGAATTGACAAAATAAAACTGAAATTGAAAATGTAGACCGCTAAACTACAACTCAATGATTTAGAGATATCGGGCTCTCCCTGATCACATGTCGTAAGTAAGCATTGTTTGTTCATTGCCACAAGGTTTTGAAATAGTTTTCTAAATAATCATAATCCTTGACGAAAAAGTAGCTTCAAACCGAACAAAATCTTTACCATCAACCATTTATCCGAATATTATATATATGAGGTGTTTTTATAACATTGACCCTTCAATCTTTACCCCCAAAAAAAATCAGTTAGTATACCACCTAAACTATACATACTTCAAAGAAAAGTAATTATAAAAACCCTAGAAACTAATTTACACATAAAAGTTTTTTTTTTCTGTCATTTGTCCTAGTCAGGTTAAGTAGCAAAACTTCAAAAGAAATACAAATATAACCCAACAATTTTTTTAAATGTGAGTGTGTATACATTGTATATGAAATTGAATCTTTATTAACAAAGAACGTATATAAATTATCAATTAGGTAATCAATCATTAATGGTCACGTTACTACTAGAAAGTAAATAGTGCTTAGAGATACAAATGAAATAAATGTATATTTTAATTATCACATTTTCATTAGTAAATTAATAATGAGGATAATGATTATTAAGTGAAACTATTATTTACATTTAATCTTTGTAGAAAACAAAAAGAGATGGGGTCAAGAAGAGAATATATATATATATATAATAGTGTCATTAATTAACAACACGGAAAAACAAAAAGTGAATTACAATTTCCAAAGTTTCTATGATACAATAAAGACAACAACAGTGCGCGATGGAACTAAATCTAAGTGAAAACACATACACATAAACACACACAGTGAGAAAGACAAAAAAAGTTAGTTAATTATAACAGGGGTTTTGTGGAGATTTCACTATTTTCATAGTTGAAATCATGAGTCAATTGAAGCTAGACCACCATGAAAAAACTGGACGGCCGTTTCGTCCTATTATGGGACTCCTCAGTAGTGCGCATCAACGATCCGGCACTCGTGAGATTCGAACCCAGGACCTGCCAGTCTCGCACCAGAGCACTTAACCGATTAAACAACCATTCATCAATTGTTTTCAGTGAGTTATTATCAATTGTTGTTAAATAATTAATTAATCAATTCGTTTTTTATATTTTTGGGGGGACTATTACATTTTAAAAATTATTGCTATGAAAGAAACAATGTAATCTTCATTCAAATTGATTTTCTAATCAATTTATTTATTAGAAATCAATCTCATTTACTTTTCTAATTAGTATGGTCTTGTCATTTTTGTTTTTATCCAACTTATTTGCGACACTTTCATGTCAGTCAGCTACAACGTAGGACCAGGCACATTTACGCATTGGTCCAAGTTGCCACAACTCGTTAGCACAACAAGGTGAACATCGGATTCATAGTAGTTAATTTTGTGGTAGTAGTATATAAAAGATAGGTTGTATATAAGGATATAGCATAGGAAGGAAGAACGTTATGAAGCAAGTGATAACTGCTCTGATACCTCTAACAGCACTCAAGATCACTGTATTCATAATCAATCTCCTTCCTCATTTCCTACTATTCCTCCTACCTCAACAATTTCATGTATAAGATCTAGTGATATTTGACTGCCTAAAATGGAGTAGTAGATAGAATAGGATTCAATCCCACATTCTAGAGGACAAGAATTCAGTGTTTTAACTAATGAACTGTTGCTTTATTTGGTAGAGGAGATAGTATAGCTAGTCATTTGTAACCCATACTGATGTTGACTATTATGATGACCGACGTACAGGAAATTTGTTATGCATATGAAGATTAGAACTTTTAAAGTATACACCGACAACTTCAACTCTGTTTACAACATGTATGGATAAACCAAAAAGGCCTATTCTATGGATAATTTGAATGGTTTTGTCTATGTTAACATGGCGTCTTGTATCAATTAGGTGGATAAGTATGAAGCCATCACAATACCCATCGATGGAGATTACAAAAGATTAATTACGCTCTGTTTTATAATGTCTTTTCTATTAAAAGAGAGAGTATTTTCTTTTTCCACTGTCACATAATCGAAACATTTCTCTATATTGCTTTATTTAACTTCATGTTAGATCACTATGACATTTTACAGTTTGTACTGAATCTTTATTCCATAATACATAACCTCAGGTACCAAATTTTTCTGTTTATTTTTGTCTACTTTTGCCGGAAATGTCTTCTAGACTAGATAAGCAAAAAAAAACAGTCATAATGTGTTACGCCTAGACATAAAAACATATTTATTGAAATTAGTGACCATGTTCAAGAAAAGCAATGAAGATATTAATTAATGATTAATTAGTTCTTAAGCGATAGACCGACTCTAGATCATGTCACACTATATTTCCAGTAACTGGTTACAATAATTGCGCAGACACCAATCAGGTAGTCTGGACGCGTTAACATAACTCTGTCAGGTAGTCAATGACTATATGGAGTGATTCCACATTTTCGATTGGCAACCCCTAGCTTTCACCCAACATATTCGTATACTGGAAATCACATTTCGCGATAGGCAGTAATTAGATGTATGTAGTATACATCCTAACAAACTCAAATGATGAAGATTCTTCATCTCATCCATCGATTATTAGTTCTCACCCAATACTTTACATCCAACATAGATACAAACTTCAAATGATTAACGTTTGATGATTACGTGTAAAATAATCAGTTAAATAGGATCAGGTGACATCACACAATGAGTCCATGTTATTTTAGAAAAAAATGTATACAAATTAAGACAGCTGACTATCCATCATACAAAAACATTCATATCACTATTTACTTTGTTGATTATTTCATCGATCATGGATATTGCTTAACAAATTGGTAACAAGCATTAGATCAACATTTTATTATTATTTAAAAATATATGAGTCATACACACAATCTCCACCTTCCCGCTCGTTATAGTTTCGAAACCACAAAGCATGGGTCATAGCAACAGATTATCGATGAATCCAATAACCAATATCTCTTCACTATTGATTTTGTTTCTTAAATACTAAAGTCAATATATTAAGTCTTAAGTATTTTGATGTACATAAAATTGTGGCAACATTATAATAATGACACCCCATTAGGATATCACGAGGTTAATCTCCGCAATCAAGATCAGTAATGTATTATTGAAGGCATTGATTTTAAGTTAATAGTCCTTTTTTATCAAGAAACGACTTCAATTTTTGTTCAGAAAATTGAAAGTAACGATTGAAAAGAATAAAATTTCTTCGTAGAAATGATATTTGAAAGTAATCGATAATAAAAAACAGTAATGAGTTATTGATGGAAGCAAGGTAGAGTTATCCCATTTTATATGATGTTTAGTCAATAAGCATATTGATTTTGTTATTATATTATTACACCTGTGCTGAGACTTGGCACTCCTTGCAGTATACAGTCTTTTTGAAACTCTATATATTTTCATCAACTTACTATATAATGTCAGTCAGTCAGCTACAACGTAGGACCAGGCACATTTGTGCATCGGTCCAAGTTGCCATACCTCATTGGCACAACAAGATCAACACCGAATTCATAGAAGTAGTTAATTTAGTGGTGGTAATATGTAAAAGAAAGATTGCATATAAAGATAAACTACAGGAAGGAAGACAGATATGAAGCAATTTTAATCTCAAGGTTTAAGGGAAGATAAAGAGTTTATACACCTATGCCATTGTGATCGATTCTGAGACGTGTCACCCACAGTCTCCAACCATTGGTTACGATAGTTACGCAGACTCCAACCATGTAGTCTGCATCTGCCAACATGGTTCAGACTAGAAGCTAGTGACTTCAAGCACTGATGGTACTTTTTGGTTTGGCTGCCCCTCTCTCTTCCAACCACTGCCAATACTAGTCAGCATTGAGCGTCGTGGTAATCGGTGTTCAGGCATACGTAACACGTGGCTCAACCATCTCAGTCGATGTAGATTCATGACCTCATCGACTGATTAACTGACTGATAGGTGACGTAAGTTGGCAAAAGCCAAACGAGCTTTTTGAATGTGAAATTTTATAAACATTAAAAGCTTACTATATACAGTTTGATGATTAGATAATTTTATAGTTTTATAAACTATTAAGTCCAACAACCCATACAAACCGCTTACTTTAATAACTGACTACTCATCAAGCGAATACAACAGCCATGTTAACTTGTCGAATTAAGATGTACAGTATACCTTGGTTTACAATGAGATCTCTATTGAAACCGATCTATGAAAAATAACATCTACATTTGAAATTATTGGAACTCTATTCAAAAATAAGTTCAATTGAGAATTTATAGTATTTAAAACAAAATTTAAATGTCTTTTTCTAACGATATTCTCAAAACAAGTGCATTGCTTAATGCCACGTTAATAGACAAAAGAAGGTAAACAAACTTTGAATAAACAAGGTCAACTCATTCAATCAGTTCATTTGAATTTAAACTTTAAGTCAACTATCTAGATAATGATACTTCTAATTGATCATTGAATTATCACTTAATTGACACTAGAAATATAAATGATCAAATCAAGGTTAAATTAAATTATCAGAAGGGGTTTTGTGGAAATTTAGTAATTTCATGGTTGAAAGCGTGAGTCAATTGAAGTTTAACATTAACACCGTTGGATGCCGGCCGGCTCAGTGGTCTATCGGTCAAGTGCTCTGGTGCAAGACTGGTAGGTCCTGGGTTCGAATCTCGAGAGTGCGGGATCGTTGATGCGCACTGCTGAGGAGTCCTATAATAGGACGAAACGGCCGTCCAGTCCTTCCAGGTTTTTCATGGTGGTCTAGCTTCAATTGACTCACGCTTTCAACTATGAAAATATTAAATGCAATTAATTTTTTTTTATATAAAATGTATAATATTGAAATTAATGTAATTGGATATTTGGAAGTCATTTTAAAGAGTCAAATTGGACTAGAAGAATATTCAACAGATGATGATAGGAAATTATTTGATAACTGAAAATTAATAAAGTTTAGGGAAAAAAATAAATTGCATTATACTCACTCTTATGTTGTTTCATTCATCTGTTGGTCAAGAATCAAGTTTGTGAAGAAATGAATTAAAAGTGGATTCTATTATAACTTAATATTAGGTGAGGAACTTATGAAAGCGAACGAGCAATGGACAACTGACTTTTAGACTTTTGAATAGTGTATCCTCCAACTATCCCAGATGAAACAATTCATTTGAACATTAACAGTCGCAAATGTCTTACGAGGGTTTTGAATCGATGACTAAGATTCCACTTCCCAGTGGCTTTAATATCGTACAGTGCTTGCCAACTTTGAGATTAAGGGAAAGAGAAGAGATGATCAGTTTATGACATGGAGTAGTGATACGAAGAATATTTGTTTAGAAATAGCATCTACTGATCCGTCTTGAATCTACGGTTGGGGTCCAGGAGATGGTACAATTTAGCGGTTTAGAACGTTAACAGACATAACTCGGAATGTAAGTCATTCTAATCTTCTATTAAACGTTCATAATAATGTGACAAAATTCATTACCTGGGAGAAATCCCTTCTGGCTATATTTTGAATTGAATGGCACCGCTCACTAAACACCATTCTTTTTCATTTAATTATCAAATCTACGACTCTACTCATCGTTCTTTCCTCACAATGTTATCGCTTTATTTAACACATTATTTGGTTCACCAATGTATTAGGACAAAAGATAATAAGAATCCGCGACTTTCATTGCAGTCAATCAAGGATATTGTGCTACTGTGAAAAATCGTTATCATGGAAAAATTATCTCCATTCCCACGTGCTTTTTGGTCTAAAAGTCACAATTTCTCACTGGACTTTCAGGAAATTTACGAAAGGTTAATCCTGAATTAACACATAGTTATTATAAATCAAAGTAACCAGTTTTGAGCAATAACACCTAACGTCATCAACAGTTATTCATCTCCCAACCATCTAAATCGATAATCATTTAAAATCTTATCAACTGATTTGTTATCTTTTCTTATTTTCCTATCTTTAACCTCAGCACTGCTCACTTGGTTGTTTAAAAATATGCGAGCAATGCTTCGAAGATACCTATGATCAATAACTTGTAGTTCGCCGATGGCTTCTACTAACATTGTTTATGTCACACATTCAGCATATTCGCTCCTTTGTTAGGAGATGAGTAATTCATCCAAACCATAAGTGATGCGAATTGGTAAAATATTAAAAATCCTCATGTCGTGAATTAGAAAAACATATATAAATAGATAACGCTGTTTATAACTGGAACACCATCCGGCTTCTCTCTACTAAAAATTAATATTTAGACGTAAATGAACAAAAAGTAAAATTGGTCGTATGATGACAGGTATACTAATTGTGATAAGACCAAATTTTAATACATTTACTTGTATAATATTATATTTATATGAAGTTAGAATATTTTAGATATAAATGAGTAACAGATCAATACCAGTGGTATTCCACAATTTCAACTGACTAACACGTTATCCCCCCAGACGTGAGAGTAATATTTACGCAAAACTTTAAGGAACCACAGTCAATAAGAAAAATGCAGTAATATAGTTTCAATAAGCAGTATCAACAAAACACATAACATTACTTTTCAATATAAATGGAATGAAAATTCACCTAATTATAACTTCAACAATAAGTAATGGTTTAGAAGCGTCTAAGTGCCTTAGTATGGCCGAGGGTGGGGAGAGTTTGCTCTCACTTTCATTATATGGCCATATGTATATAACCATTGCCAAGGAATTCCAACTCATTCCCTTCTCGTAACGGGGTGTTGTTTACGAAATTGAAAGGATCCATTTAAGAGAGTAAGAAAACCTTGATTCCAAACCAATGATGCACATGGATCCCAGGATCCTGAGAGAACGAATGGCGTATGAACCTGTGGTTGATCACTGGCTACCATGGGATTGCATCTCCCAACGTTGATCCATTGCTTTATGGATTAGGACTCTGGATGAAGAGTTGGGAGTGGCCCCTTAAGAAAACCATCTGTTGTAGTCAGAGAACTCCAGCAGTATCCTAGCCTACATACAAATTCAATGATTTGTGTGGTGAATATATATTTTGGTGCCCTTTTGTACTGATGTTTATGTTGAAATCATGAGTCAATTAAACCTAGACCACCATGGAAAACCAGGAAGCATTGGTTTTCATTGGTGGTCTAGTTTCAATTGAATCATGAATTCAACTATAAATTTACTAGAAAAATCTCCCCAACCCCCCTTCTGATAATGTTTATTTGTTTAACTAGATAAATAAATAAATAATAATGGTTTAGTAGATCAATCAACGAGTTGCATGTTTAAATCCCATAATATTCATTTTATTCAAACTTGTCCGATATTATCAAGAGACCATATATTAACGAAATATATTGAACTTGTAAATGGTCCGCCAGTAACTGTAAACTAGTACTATACTAGTCCATTATCAATCTGAAACAACAATTTATTACTGTAAAAATGAATGCAAATGGATATTCATTTAAGGCATAGAGGATTCCATAACAATAAAACAGTAACAAATTAACTAACTAGATAATTCCACTCGACAATAATGTATGAATAGATATAGGATGATGCTTATTTTATTAATCAACTAGAATTTGGATAAAACAATTCTCATAAAATACATGAGTATAAGATCAAACTATCAAAAGAAGAAGAAAAAACAAAAATGTATGTACTAATACAGACATTCTCATTCAATTCATCATTGACCAAACAATCAACCAATGACAACTACTTTTTAATATTAAATACCAAAAAAAAAAGAGGCAACACAGAAATTTAAAAAAAAAAACAATCATTGATTATGAATTATATATGTATGTATTTATAAATTTTCTTTCAATAAAGTAAACTAAACATGATCATTTTACATAAAACTCCTGATCTGTCTTTTTCTTTCTTTACTCGAAATTGATCAGACTTGAAAAAACAATCATAAATAACAAATAATGCTCTTTATCATAATATAAGTAGTATAAAACTTGGACATATATATATATACCGCTTTCTAACAAACACAAACAACTAAACAATCTCAGTTCATAATCACACACACACACACATACACGTTGAATACATTATTCATGATAATTGATCATACTTTTTTCTTTTATTAAATTACACAATTAAAGAAATTAACGATTAGTTCATTTCATAGAAACAGATAATCAAAGGAAAAAAGAACTGTTAACTGAAGTATTTATAAGTAGTGATCATAATGAGAATAGTTGGTAGTTAGTTAACATTGGGGTTGTTGTTGTTTTGTTTTTTTAAGTTAGTCATTGATGATCGCCTACTGTTACACAGGCACATAATGGAAACTGTTAATAATTAACATAATTTCTAACCAGAAAACCAACAAAAAACGGAAACCATATAGATGATGAACAGATGAAAAACATTGTTCTTTTTTTACAATTTTATTCAATAAAGGGAAAAAATTTTTTTTTTAAAAAAATAATGACAAATAAAAGAGAAAAAATAACACCGACAAAAGAGAAAAAAAGTACAAATCAAAAGTAATTGGAAAGAGAGAGAGAGAGAGAGAAAAAAAAACAATCAAAAAGACAAAAAGTATGGGAAAACAAAAGAGACATTGGAATTTGTTCGTTTTTAAGATGATAGATAACTTTGAATTATACCATAAAAGTGAAATATTATAAGTAAAATGGGAAAATATGAACCAATTGTTGAGTAGGCGCATAAATCAATCAATCAATCAATAGACAATTGAATATTGAACAGTTTAATGGTTACCACTTCGTTTAAGTTGATCACTTTCAATATTCATTATAATGATATAATAACTAACAAAAAGAGAACAATACTATCTTTGAAAAAAAAACAAAAATTAAATGAGATAAATAAACAAATTATTATCAATGGTTTTATTCAATAATATTGATGAAAGACAAATTTAGCACAGAAATATTGTTTTGATAAATAAACACACATAGAATAAGCATCCAGATATGATCTTTTCACTTGTTTCCAATCAGTCAACCGGTCAACCAACCCATATCAACTTGATGTTAAAAAAAAAGAATAATAAAATGTTTCATCATCATCATTATTATTATTATTATCGTCGTTAGTAGTAATAAGTGAACGACATAAAATTAATTACGTGAATAGACAAAGATGAGTTGATAATCATTATGTTTATCACTATAACGTCATACAAGTAAAAGAAGACCTAATACTGAACAAATAAGTAATAAATATAAACGAGAAATAATGAAGGAATGAAAATCTAGTAGTAGAATAATAGAGACAGAGAAAATTCAGTTCAATATGATGAGTCATCGTACATTATAAGAAGGGAAGAGATATAGCCGCATACATGGATTGTTGTGAACCGAATAATGTTTAATCAATGGTTGAAGATATACCCATATACGAAATTGAAAGCCAAATTTAAAACTGATGCATCACCATTATTCATATACACATTAAAGCAATCATAAATTAGCATCTATTGAAGAAGAACAATAATAGATTACATTAAATAAAATGTCATGATCGATTTTATGCCAGAAATAAACAAGCAGCTGATAATGATAAATAACTGTTTTACATTTTAATTGCTTATCGAGACAAAGCTTTGAAGGACATCATACCAACACATAAATACACATACACAGAAACACATGTATAGAATGTGCTATGAAAGCTAAACAGAATTTGTCACAGAAAACAAAAACAACAAGCAAGAAGTACAATAAAAATATAACTATGGCGCAAATAAGTTGTTTGGATAGGAAAGTAGAGAGTGGGACAATGTGGCAGTCAGTCACAGATAGAAAATGAATACAAGCACATGCGCGCGCGCACACACACAGACACACTGGTATCGCAATGAAGCCAGAAAAAAATCACAGAAGATAGATGATTGAAGGAGAAAAGGGAAGGGACAGTAAGAAGTGCCAAAAGAGATTATACAGAAGACAATAATAGGTCTGGGAAGCATTCAGTTTATTAGATAGTATAAGAAAGTTTTAAACTGTAAAATACAGTAAATGCCAAATAAAACAGTAAAATAATAATAATAATAATAATAATAATAATAATAATAACAGTAATGCAATATAGAGAAAGAAGACAAGGTTCTTATTTCTTTGAATGTTAATATTAGATAGAAATGTCACTTTTCCGAATCATTCATATATGATATTGCAAAGTTTATGGTGCATATAAATGCACATCTGTGCACGTTTGGTGTGAGTACACAAAGAAGTTCAAGAGTTCAATACACATAAGCAGAAGAATACAAAAAAACTGCAGAAAAGCATATAAAGAAATCACTAACAGAAAAATGAAAGAGAAAGAACAGTGATATATTTAAATTCTAAATGCGACCGGGATATAGTTTTACTATTAGTAGATTGTGGCTTGTTTTTTTTTCTTTATCAGTTAGCTTATTTTCTTACATACAAACATATCCACACAAACATATTTCGTTGTAATTATAATGTACATATTTTGACATAACAGGAAAACAAGCTAATGATGCCCCACATTACCACTGCTACCTCCCCCTGTTGAAATATTTGAATTTGACGACGGTTTAAGCTTTTGCAATTGAATTTTAGTTGGATTTGCTTTGCCCACTTCTAATTGGCGCGATGTAGCGGTGGTGGTAGTAGTAGTACGTCGCTGAGAATCAGTCATTTGAGATATGTTGTTAAGCTTACCATTATTGTTACTATTGTTTAATATAGACGAATTAGATGGTGTATTTAATTTGGAAACATGTGAACCACCACCACTACCACCATTACTACGTCGTAGATTAGAAAAGGCGTTTTTGAATCGACCACTACGTACTACAGCATGTGAATTTATTTGATTTTCAGAATTTGTTGTCTTAGAATGGATTAATCCAGTTTCTGTGGATAAACAATCACTATTTGCTTCCGAGTTATTATCACCATTTGAACGTAGATTAGATTTTGCAGCAGACGGTAGTCTTGATGGGATAGAACGTTGATTAGGCAGATGATGTTGAGGATAACAGTGATTATTTGATGACAATGATGATGATGTAGTGGTATTTGAAGATTTTATTGAAGATAATGTTGTTGTTTGTATAGGTGATGATACTGATGGAATACGACTAGAATTATTACTATTAGCGGAATTACCATTGAAAATCATTTGTCGACGAGTGACAACTGTAGCGGGAGGAATATTTGAACGTCCAGTCTGAAATATTGATCAGTAAAAACAATTATTTGTATGAAATAGGAAAAACGTTTGTTACGTAGTTAGTTTTTATAAAATACAATAATGATTCCACAATGTATAGTGGAAGAGACAATAAAGAACTCAAACCCAAGGTACCTAATAATAATAATAAACCAATGAAATTATTATCAAAAAAGAACTATGGCATGAAATTACAAATGTACAAAATCCCAATGATAGAAATTAAACGGTTAATGGCTTTTTTGCTAGTAATCTTAATTCGAAGCTTCTACAGAAGACTTCGTGTATGGTATGTAACAACCATATTGGTAAGTCGTTTCAGTTTAGATTTCAAACGTAACATTTACAAGAATTTGCTTTATCGATGAATAACAATAAGGATTAAGTCTAGTTAATGTGTTTCTTTGCAGATATCCACTACGAATATGATTAAGTGTAAGAATAAAGTGAACTTCTATTGATATGGGGGGGTTGAGATTGTTGATAAGTAGGGCTAAAACTTAGCGGTTTGAACACTCAAAATCCTAACAGTTTAAAAATAGTTCCAAACACAAATACTTAGATAGCAAAGTAGTTTCTCTGGATCATACGTAAAAGTATTGCTTCATGATAAGATGCATAGATTGGCTGAACTTACCTATATTTAGCCTTAAAGAGATATGTTGTGATGTTGTAAACACTAATGAAGCAGGAGTACCAATAGTTTAGTAAAAACCATACAATGATGAAGACGAAATATTAATTCAATGTGTCAAAGACTGTTTTGAGATATTCGGGGGTATCTAGGTTATTTGCCTGGAATCACTACACTAGTGAGCATTATTATTCGAAAGCACTCAAAAACAGTTGAGTACTTCATCACTACGTATTTATTTTCTTTCATGTTTTCAGAAGTCTTTCTGAAAAAGTAGAAGTTCTATTGTAAAACATCAGCTTTCATTTCCATAGAGAAAGCAGTGTTGCATAACAAACATTCCCATACAACATACCAGGTACTCAAGTGTCGTGATACACTCATGATAATAGTAAAGAGTGTTTTGGCTCTATCCAATAAAATGTGAAATTCAACACTAATCGAAATGATGCAGACGATTTGTTGCTTGGAAAGAGAACTATGGGGAGAGGTGTTTATTTTTGTCGTCTGAACGGTTTGACCGTGAGGCTTTCATCTTTCTAGACAAGAGAATTATAACATACTTCAACTCAAAGAATGAAATACCTCAAGATTCAATACTAATCATTTATTTAATGAAAATAAATATTGGTACAACTGGGCACCAAAATAAATTATCTTGCGTGTACACAAACGCACATCGGCGAGCTTCAGTATTACTAATATGTTGCCACTGGATGTCAGCATTCCTTTGGAGACAACGATAATCGAATACATAGTCGCCGAACATCGTGAACTTAGAAAGATCAAATTTCGCAAACAAGAGTATAATTCTTTTCATTGTGTCGTATACCCGACCTTTTACAGACAAACTAAGACCACGGCACTTAAGATGTCTCGCATTGGCATCAACTCCTTTGGCTCTCACTATAAGTAGACTGATTGCATGTGTCAAGCCACCATTAGCACTTACACAGTTAGCCAGGTACACGAACTTTTTAAAATACTTCTAACAACTCACTATAAAGGGTGGGTGCCCGTACAGGCTCTTGACAGTCTTGTAAAAGCACTGAATTTAGAAAGAACAAAGCACGTGCCATTGTATGGACGGTGATCACTATCTGATTAAATATGATTCGTATAACTTGTATAATGTTGCAGAGTAAAACCATTCAACTGCTCAAGTTACGTCAGAAAGAGTTAGGCCTAAAAGCGGATGAAGAACTTATTCAAAATTATATCGTTTATTAATTTATGTTAAATCTCAACCAAACATTTTGTAGTCTTGATTATGTTGTGGATAGCAGCTAAAAATGAAATGCAGGAAGCGATTTCCATCTTTTTCGGGACTCGACATGCATCATAGTGTTGATGTTCACAGTGAGACTCTAAGCCAGTACCTATTATTCCAGAGTACTATCCTCTAAAGTCATCAACTCAGTCAGTGAGTATAATATTTACTATTATTGTTTTTTATACTTATATATCTTCAAGTTTATTAATATTCGGTACCGACAGTGGACCAACCTCTGTGTTCGTTCATTTGGCGTGTCTATTAGCATGCTTTAATTATTGATCTATAACTATATATTATTTTATTGGATAGTGATTGTAAAGAAGCAAACAATATCCCAATAAAAAACAAATTACAATTTAGATATGTATAATATAAACCATAGTCTATCTTACCTTATAATTTGTCACAGCTGTTGATTCGATTCCATGATTTGACTGATTCAAATGTTTAGAATTATTTGTCATATATGTAGATGGAATAGAGGTTTTTGTCAAATTATTATTTACCAATTGTGAATCAATGAATGGTTTACGTACTTCAATTGATATATCTAAATTAAAAGGGAATGCTAATAGTTGTTCTAAATGTGTCATTAGATCAGCGTGTAGTTCACGTTGACTAGCACGACATTGGCGTATGAATGCATTTTCACAATAAAATCTTCGTAATAATGTATCATTGGCTACAAGTGCGTTTAACCACATTGGCAAAGCTTTTGCACTAAAAATTTAAGAAAATATATGTACACATATCAGTAATGGTGAAAAAAGGTATGAATGACTATGATTCAGCGTCTTGGCATTGCATTGAAACAGACTCAAAGAATTCTGTTGTCCCAGCGACAAGAAAAATGTAGATAAATGGGAAAGCTGACCAATTTACCTCACATTGAAACAAACAGGACATAGAGTGTGATTCTTTCAATAGATGATGAGTAATAAAATAATAATCGTGATAGATTATTTACTTAGATATGTACTTAGATATGTAGAAGGTATTCGTTATAGATTGATCTCAGTCGAGATATTATTAGGAAGAAAGGGACACTGAATATCTACTTTGGAGTATAAAGGAACTCGGCAGTGAGTTTCCACGACATCATCGGGACTTGAACTCAGAACACTAGGGTCTCACTGCGTCTAACAGCACACATTTATGACTTCAATCGATTCGTGATGTAGCACGACGATCATCTAATGTTACTGAACTAAACTCTACTGGTCGTAACTTTTCATTGGAACATCAAAAACTCATTCCGACTTATTGTACTAGTAAACTCATAATTAGTTATTAGACGAGGAATCAGGGTTTCGTCACGAATTGATATCAACTCAAGAAGGACCAATGAAGAACTATTCCATCTTAGTTTGCGGCTACTCAACAATAAACATTCACAATTACACAATGGATCAGATCTAAGGTATTGAGACATTGTAACAAACATGGTATTTTTATATTATTTGGTCAGAATCTAATAACATACATTTAAAACTTCAGTCAATTTGTTTTATGATACGACTTTCAACCAATCTTAACAGTGATGACTGTTTCACTCCCGATCCGACTGAACTCTTCAACAGTCACGTTGTTTCACTAGAGCTTTAATAATCTACCTCAAAATTAGTCGTTTATGAACAGATGATTATCACTGAATTGAAATATCAATTAAAAACTCCCTAGTTTGCAAAAGTCATCCACCTTCCACTTATTAAACAGAACTCTACAATATATCCAACAGTTTTAAAAAGATATACACATCTAATGTATTAAACATACTTTAAACAAGCACATATGAATCCTTTAAATTTTGTTTTCTCTAATGTGATGTTAGTCAACGCTTTCACTTGACTAATAGCATCATTCAATACATGATAAGCTACACCGGTAGGCAATGCGCCTAAAAGAGAGAAGTATACAATAGAGAAAATTAGGGGAGCGAAAAGAATTGATTATTAAGAAAACGAATATATATATATGTCCATGTTTGTGACATAAATTCTCAGCAGCAACAGATTCTTTAATACCAGTCTTGACAATAAAATCAATTTCCATTTATATTTACAAGTGTCAAATTTATTCATATTTTGTTCAAAGGTCTAGGTCATGATTACACATGTAAGATTACCTGGTCTCTTAGTATAAAAAGAAGGTATACACACCCATACACAGATATGAAGTAAACACACAAGCATATATATACGAGTACAAACATGTAAACCATAGGTCACATATCCATGCAATCAATTCAACTTGTGTTTCTGTATATGGCCCATAGTTAGCATTGCTATCGAATTTCGGTTACGGCAAGTTATTGCAAAGATATAGTAAGTACAAGAAGGGTGGAGGCTGGATAATTGTTAAACAATCATGATTTGTATAGAGTTGAGATCATGAGTCAATTGAAGCTAGACTACCATGGAAAACCTGGAAGCACTGGACGGCCGTTTCGTCCTATTATGGGACTCCTCAGCAGTGCGCGTCCACGAACCCACTCTCGCGGGATTCGAACCCAGGACCTACCAGTTTCGAGCCGAAGCCCTTAACCGATAGACCACTGAGCTGGCATCCAACGGTGTTAATTTCTAACTTCAACTGATTCACGAAATTGAGCAACCATTCACCAATGTCATCAGTGAGTTCCTATCTCACAACAGACCTGGTTGAACTCCACCGGTTACTGCTTCTCACTAGAACTCCAGGAAATACCTCAAGGAGTCAGTCACTAGTGAGCACCTGATTATTATCAGAAGGGGTTTTGTGGAGATTTTAGTATTTTTATAGAGTTGAGATCAATTGACTTCAATTGACTCATGATCTCAACTCTATAAAAATACTAAAATCTCCACAAAACCCCTTCTGATAATCATGATTTGTACAAATGAGTTGGTGAAACAGTCAATTAATTAGTAATAAATAGTTGTTTAACTTAGTGGCGAACTCTTAGCACGAATTCGAAAAGTTAGTTTAGCTTTCACCAACTTGAGCGCTAAATGTGATGTAGGCTGGACATACGTCTTTCTATTAAAGAGGAAGTATATAGAGTAATAGATTGCTTAATTTCACTTTTAGGCTGTAAAACATGGCCTTTGAAAGTAGGGGACATTTGTAGGATATTAATATCTTATTACAGATATCTTCGAAAAATTGCTCACGTAAAGTAATCACGTGAGCAATGTCAGTCATTGGGTAGAAATAGAAAATCAATTGATGAGGTTGTAAATTTTTATTGAATGATGTACTAGGACACATTTTAGGTAGATCCAACCACCATCTACCCCCAGTAAGCAATGTTGGCCGAAAGTTAAGGAAGACCAAATTAAGACATTTTCTCACTCTAGGACGTCACTGACTGTTAATGTGAGCTTTCTTGGTAGGTTTATGATTAAGACCAGTGTATAATTGTGGTTAATGCTTAGAAATCTTAAGTAGTTCAAAATTGGTTGCAGTAGCGCATATATATTCATTGTTTGCCTTCTCTCGAGGTTCAAATACCATTTCATGCTTTCTATTCCCTTACTTTGTCACTTCTATTTAATGCATCCTTTTCTTAAACACTATTATTCAGACAATCATTGCCCCGTAGAAGAATGCAAAGGAGAGTAACTAACTTCCAATGCGAAAGCAGTTTGGATATATGGAAGTCGTAAAATAAACAGTTAACAGTGATACTCAACTTAACATGTAGAAGGTAGAGAATAAATGCAACTAAGTTACCGCGATTAATTTTAGACCATGTTACTCAATATCTTCAACTATTTATTACAAGTAACCTTTGAGTCCAAACAGGAAAATTTGCACTTACCTACATGAGTAAGGCCAGAATTTGACAAACACATGATCCTAGACATTATTTTAACAATTCACAACATATTCATTCATCAAAATCTAAAACCATTCTCTATATCAAATGATATTATAAACAGTTAAATCAAGAAAAATTTTTGATAAAAATCTGAATTAGTAAAATAAATTACCTGGTCTACAACTTTCTTCAACTAACTGCCATAAACGGGTACGTGGTCGTGAAGCGAAAATCGGTTTTGATGGTGGAAGTAGACCATCACAAAGTAGGATAGTTAAAGGAGGTATAACTGCTAAAAGAGGTTGTTTTCCAGAAGAGCCAATAGCTTCAACTTTTGAATAAGGTAATGATGTATTAGATAATGAATTATGACCATTTAATTCTTCATGATTTTTTAAGTTCATATTTGGATTGCAATAATAAGCAACGGTCTCTTGAACTGCTTTAATTACATCATTGACCATCGCTAAATTGAGGGCAAGACAGAGAGAAATAATATTCTTATTTATTCAAAGAACTATAAACATTGTCATAACTGTGTACAATAATGATGTTCAAAGAAATCATTTCTCGAAAATCTGTAACTGATAGGCTTGTTAGTATGCTGTCAAATATTTTATTAAATATGATAGGATAGAGCAAATATCGTGATAAATACGAAATCAATGCTCGCTATGCCTATTTTATTTAGAAAGTGTTCATCATGAGTTTAAGTTGGGCCATTCGATAGGGAGGTTTTACCTAGCGTAATTTAAAAACTTTAACTTCAAACTGATGATGAATGTACACTTCATGACCATTAGAAGATGGAACAGATTATAAATCTATTTCAGTCACCGGTCATCCGAAAACTGTATCACCTAATGGTAGTCTTGTGTATTAAACCTTTAAGCTAAAAACTCAAAGAGTAATCTGTTAATGAAGTCGTCTATTTCAACATATAGGCCCAAGAAGTAAGTAGCCCAGTCAACAAATTATAATAAAATACACAAGATGTATATAAATAGTAAGTTGATTTAAAATGAGATAATCTCCTACTTTAAATAATACATAAAAATTAAATGAATAGCATACTATAAACATCAAACTAACCATGATATCTAACATCAATATCAGAATGATGAGTTGATTTTCCATTTTTTTCACTATCCAAACTTGGACTACATCGTGGATTAAACTCAGCCAATGGTTGTTCTTGACCATATAAACCCCAATTTCGTGGGATCACTATTTTAAAATAAAAAGTATAAGAAAGGAGTAAAAAATATTCGACGATAGTGATGATAAAATAGAATGTCTGGCGCTTTAAACGGGTTGGTGGACACACTTCGTCCACCTAGGGGAGTTGAAAAACCATGATTTCAAACCAATGGTGTACATGGGCTCCAGTATCCTGAAGGAACAAATGGCGTATGAATCAATCTTTGATCACCGGCTACCATGAGACTGCATCTCCTCACTATGCTCCACTGCCTTGTGGGTTAGACCTTTAGGTCAAAGGCTCCGGGTGTGGGCCCTCTAAGAAAACCACCTGCTTCAGTTTGGGCACCTGGGCAGTATCACAGCCCTCACGCAAATCGAATGAGATTTGTGCGGCGCGTATGTATCTGGTGCTTCCTTGTGCCAATATTTATGTGTTTAAATAAATAAAATAGAATAAAACAGAAATAAATAAATATTAGTTAATGAAGTAAATTAAGGATAAACTGTACTAACAACTTGGAATTAGGTTACACTTTTAGTAGTATTCATCAAAAAATAATGATATAAAAATAAGCATAAGGCTTAAGGAATACAAATAGTAATAATAACAACAATATGTTCAGCTAAGAGTAAAACATGACGGAACAATAATTAATAATATGAAGCCAAAACAAACAGAAAAAGTTGTTAGGTGGTTGGAGGTAGTCAATAGGAAACCCAAGATCTATGTTTTGTGCTGGTTAGCATCTACTAGTGAGACGTACTTGTAATCTTGAGGGAACTGTGAGATCCTACAGATCAGTTGCAGCCTGGATAGCTCAGTTGTAATGTTTCAGGCTGTAAGGCCAGGTGACACGGTTTTGAATTTTCGGGATTACAGATATGCTTTATTAACAAGTATCAGTTAACATGAACCTTAGGTCTACGGTTTCCTATTAAGTACCTTCAACTAACTAACGTAACAACATAGTGCACACGATGTCGAGCTCGTTAGACTAGTTGTCACACTACAACCTGATTGAAAGAATACAATTAGCACTAATGGACTAGGGTAATATGTCATTGGCAAATACTCAGTGATTAGTTGTAGAAAATCGGAGTATTTGACAAAATAGTGTCACCATCTAAAACGCCATATACTTGGGGTGGAATGAAGATATAGAAACATCGCCACCATATGCCCTAGTACGGTCGAGTGTGGGGAGAATCCATTATCCCTTTTGAAATGCTCTCAAATGGCCACGCACTGACAAGGAAGTTACTACTCACTAACTTCTCGTGGTAGGGGTATTGTTTACGAAATCGAGAGAATATCCAGAGCTTTAACTAGGTTGGTTGGATGCGGATGATTCATATAGGGGAAGTTGGAAAACCCTGATACCAAACCAATGTTGCACAAAGTCTCAAGGATCCTGAGGGGGAAAATGACTAATGAACCTATTGTTTATCACTGGCTACCATGGGGCTGCATCCTCTAACGTTGCTTCACTGCCTTGTGGATTAGACCTTTAGGTCAAAGGCTCGGTGTGAGGCTCCCCAAGAAAACCACTTGTTTCGGCACCTGGGCAGTCTTTATTTTATTTATTATTTAAACACATCAATATTGGTACAAGGAAGCACCAGATAAATATGCACCACACAAATCTCATTCGATTTGCGTGAGGGCTGTGATACTGCCCAGGTGCCCAAACTGAAGCAGGTGGTTTTCATAGGGGACTACACCCGGAGACTTTGACCTGAAGGTCTAACCCACAAGGCAGTGGAGCATAGTGAGGAGATGCAGTCTCATGGTAGCCGGTGATCAAAGATTGATTCATACGCCATTTGTTCCTTCAGGATACTGGAGCCCATGTGCATTACTGGTTTGAAATCAGGGTTTTCCAACTCCCCTAGGTGAACTATCCGTGTCCACCAAACGCGTTAAAGCCTCGGACATTCGCTTTTCGTCCTCTCACTTTCGTAAACAACACCATGGAACGAGAAGGCAGTGAGTAGGACTTCCCTGGCAGAGGCTATTTACGCGTGGCCATGTGAGAGCATTTCGAGAGGGAGAGGTGACTCTCCCCACTCTCGGCCGTACCAGGGCATTTGGGGGCACCTGGGCAGTACTCCAGCCCTCAAACAAATCAAATGACTAAGTGTGGCGCATACATATTTGTTGCTTCCTTGTACAAATGTTTATATGTTTAAATAAATAAATATAGATACATCACACTAAGATATTCGTGAAATTGATAAATTGTTCGTTCAGTTAATTTGGTAAAACATCAATCTTTTTCAATGGAAACTTAGAGATATGGAAAATCATTGATAATAAACAAAAGGGTTCAACATCGATCCGCACTTTTTATTGTCTCCTAAATTCTGAACAATTTATCAAACTTATTTACCACTAATACTGTTACTAATCCTACTACTCTGGGATTTATCTTGATAATTTCATCTCACTAGGTTAATGTGTACCAGGTTCTACGTTGAGCGTATGACTGACTGATGTAGACAGTGTAAACTAATTTCTCTTTCGCCCATTTACATACTTTACTTCATCATAATGGCTTCTTATTAATTTGATGCTTGTTATTGTAACAGCTTAAATTGCTACATCATCGTGCGTTTTTCACTATTTCAGGTATTAAAAGCATGAAAACAATAAGTAATAGTTAATAAAATAATGGAGTAAAAGTTGGTGACATGATACATCTCATGCAGCAAGGTTTAAAACTGACGAATATGTATTCCTAAGATAATCTTAGTAAGCATAATACTAGAAATAATCTTTAACCACTGACCTTAGTTAGCTTACAGATTTCAAACATAAAATATACGGTTTATTAAACAGTTCGGACAAGTGATCCAAGTCAGTCAGTCAAATGCAACGTGCAGCTTGTCATATGTGTATCTCGGTTTATGTTGCCACACCATACTAGCACAACGAGATACTAGAGTAGCATATGTAGCAACAGTATTAGTATTAGAGAAAAAATTAGGTATAGAAAATATGATTCCTGAAGAAACTATGAGTTCGTAGAAAGACAAAAATAATCTTGTTTAAGAAAACCTGGAAATTTAAGACCGAATGGAAGACAAATAGTAAATGCACCAGCGCCATCGATAACGGTTGTAAAACATATCATCCATTCATTGATTACGATAGTAGTGAGAACACAAACCAGGTAACCTCCATAAAGTTTCTTCCTCTTGTGCATTTCTTATGGTAGAAACGTGATTTATAAAAACTCTTTTCCACTAAAAACGAATATTTATTAAGTTGTTCAGAACGATAACGAACAATTCACAATCCAATCATTCCACTTACAGAACGCGATACTACTAACAGACAATATTCAATCCTATCATTCTTAGTTAGAATTGATATTTCTTAGAAATAAAAAATGAAGCAATAACACGTTGGAAAAAGCAGTTTATTCTTTACATTTGGGATAATGTAACCAAGGGGAGAAGGGAGGAAATAAGTGGACTGTAAAATTAATTCAAAAGATACAACTATTTATTAATCGATAGACTAACCTTTGGGTTCAGGAGATTGTTGTGTTGATGTATCACTGTAATGATGATGAGAATCTTTGGAATTCAATTGTAATAAACGAATATTCCCACTGAAACTAACACTTTTTTTCGGTCGTGAATTCAAACTAAGTGATTCGTCTATTTCCGATGCATTTTTGTTATTGTTGCGATCATTATTCTGATGTTCGTTAGATCTTTGAGTAGTAGAAGTAGCACCGATCCATGATGAATCACTATCGACTGACCCATACATTGGTTGATTAACTTTACTAGAAGAAATTGAACTGTTTACTAAATCCGGTTCAGACGACGAACAACGTTCAATGACTTCAGGACAATGTAACTGGAAAATAGGAAAGAAAGAAAAGAATGAAATATGAATACATTATACCAGTGATTCTAAAGATAACTGTTATTCTATATCTACTAATATTTATTTACGAGCGAAAAGAAATAGATCTTTTCATTGTCAAAACATTAACTGTATTCAGAATACTATTAGCATGAGTAGACAGCTAATCGATAAACAAATCATTTTTAAAAATAATCTTCAGAGCGAAGTAACTATAGTCGAAAATCCATTGAGGATCAGGAGGGATCCAAGTGACCTAGTACAGATTAGTATGCTCAGCTTTGAGCCACACACAATGTGTAAGGGCCATTGATACTGACCAGTTACTCAGACCGAAGTAGGTGGAGTGGGACTTCACCAAGCGATTGAGTCTAACACCTCAACTATTAGTCCGCCGCTCAAAAACAACTGTCTAGTGTTCCCTAGTCTTAAATGATACCCAAACTTAGGTCCATCTTTGTGTATATCTTTAAACTCCCTGTTGAGTGATGCAGTTATATGATTGCGACGTGTAAACCATCGATATATGTTTTTCTTAAAACTAGGTGTAGGTAGTCTCACGAATAGGATGCTTAGTAGTAAAGCATTACCATAATTTTTAAGTTTATTTTTTAAAATAAAATCATTTCAATACAGTAGCCACATAAAAGTCGATGTGTTAGTTCGTCAGCTAACTGGACTACATGTTTGGATTGATGAAGCTTGTTGAGACTATAGAGGTTAGAAAAGGATTTTAGTGCTTTGCTCAATGTTTGTAATATAAGTATTTAAAAATTATTGAACTAACTCTACATCTTGAATCAGTGTTGGGGAATAAATATTTTCAAAAGTATGACAGAAAAATTTCTACGGTGAATAGTTTGATGTTATTGTCTAATGAAAATAGATTGATAAGTATTGAGCAAAGATACTTACTCGACTCGGGGTTGTCGTCTGTATTTCTGTACGAGTATTGACATTATTTGAGTTTGGTCTATTGATGGTGGATATGATATCTGGAGTGTTTCTTTGTTCATTATCTTTAAAGTTACGACAGACGGTTTTATTTTGGTCAGACTGTATTTTAGATGTTTGCAACTTGGATGATTTTTCTGAACATGTACCTTTAGAGGAAACGCGTCCAGCAGATGTAGATCGACATCCACACTTAGTACAAGTGCATTTTTTCTTTGACTGTGTAGCTGACAAGCAAGAAGCTCGACGTTTAGTCATAGTTGGTGTACCTTTACGATCTTCTTCAGCGCCAGCTTGACTTAAGAATGATAAATCAGGTAAAGTATGGGAAAGGAAAGCAGATCCAGCCAACCTCGAAGGCCGAGGGACTGACAAAAGGCCTAACCCAGGATAAGCTATTGAGGCTCGTGGATTACCGATCCAACCAACTGCATATCCTCTAGCAGCACAACCAGCGCGTAAAGCAGCCATATATGGTGAGTCTGGTCCAGCAGATGCTGTAAGACAAGCAGCAATAGTAGGAGGCTCGATGGGGGACGGTGACTGTTGAATATTATTTCTTTCATTCCTCTTAGGATTGATATTACAAAGAAGTGCAGACATCGGCCTACTTAAATAAAGTGGCTGAGGATGGCTATGACGTACGGTACAATTATTGGCGTACGCAGCAGAACTCCCATTGCGCAACGGCAACTTAGTCGACCATATTGGAGAAGTGTTTTGAATATTTCCGGTTTTCCTTTGATCATTAAAAAGACCTCTAGAGGAAACATTTTTAGAATCGTCTAAAGGTGGAAATTGAGCGCCAAAGTTACGCATAGAGCGAGCAACAGCATCAGCACTAGTATACAAAGGTGAGAACTGAATATTCCCCTTACTTGGGAATATTCTTTCCTTGCGTAGTAGTAAATATTTATCATTTTCAGTACTTGACCTCCTTGGATCCGTTCCAGCAAACAGATAAGACTTTCTTGCCCCCGAGATACGTGGTGACATGGCTACTCCTAAAGGATAATTATATCTGTTCGATAGTATATCTGCACGGTCAGAATCCTCTTGGTGTATTATATGAGCCGGATTTGAATAGGCAGAAGCAGAGTTGCCTTTTGGAAAAGCATTCAAATCCACAGCTGAACAATCACTATGACCACCCAGTGAAGCTATACCTTGAGCTCTAGCATGCATAAATATCTCAAAGAGTGTCCCTGAGAACCGATGCATGTGGGAAGCACCAGCTAGGGGTTGGGAATGTGAGCGGCTCTTGACTGAACCCGTCATGTTCATTTTTGGAGTAAAGGGGTCACTCTGATTATGGTGGTCTCGTCGACTTTCACGGACACTTGATGACTTGCCAAGACTTTCAGCTCGTTTAACAACCCGCTTAAGCTGGTTCCAGGTAATCAAAGCTCCATTAGCATTTTTGATAGTTTGCCAAGTAGTTGTATGGTCACTGTCTATCTCATTCTCTTTGCTCGAATTAGGATATGGAAAGACAGTCATGTCGGTTGATCTGAGAGATCTTCGTTTAAGACTTTCGCGACTACCATGTTTCTTCGCCCATGTGGTCGTGTTTGAGGTTGAAGAATCTTGATTCTTATGTTCCATCGTTACCGTGTCAGAAATAAGATCAGCAGAAACTCCAACAGAGCAAAGCTCTGTATTTCTGTCAGTAGGCTTCGGTAGTAGCTGAGTTGTTTGATCTAGAGCATGTCGTAAACCCGCTAGGCTAGCGGCAGCCAAAAGACTACCCTGACTTAGAGAACGATTGCCTGTCACCAAACCTGAAACGTTGTGCTTTGAAGACAAACAAGATCTATCTTCAAGTCGGCCCTGCAATCCAATGGAATCACCGTAGGCCAATTTGTAATCAACTGCTGCAGCAGTTCGATTGATAAGAGCTCGCAGTTCAGGATTACAAGAACGCTCCATTAGCATATGCATCCAGCTGGTTGAACCTGAAGCATTGTAGTGAACAGATCCTTGGGATTCACTGGTGAACTGTTGGCTTGCATCATTATTGAAGTCAACCTCACTTGTCTCATTGGATGCCTGACAAACAAAGCCTTTCTTTAAGCACAGATTTTTGCTCTCATTTGCATTTCTTTGAAGAATATTAGATTCTATATTATTTGGCAACTGAGCATTCCGACAATTTGACAATCTTTCGTGATTAATGTTGTTTGCCAAGTGATTTCCAGCAATCTTAGAATCACTAAGATCACTTTCTCGCGAATTGACTGGACTAAATATGCAAGAATCAGAACGTGAGTGACCAATCAGATCGGGTGGGGGCTTTCGACTACAATCCATAGATTGGACCATCAAAGGGTACCTAGTGTTATTGTCTCTATCTTCCTGCAGATGTGGATCCATAGGCTCTGCAAATTCATCATCAAAAAAGTATTCTCCCTGCTCAAGATAAACAGATGAGATCGGAGGTGTGCCAACCGTGGAGTTTATTAGTGCATGGGGAGCAAATGAACCAGGTGGAATGTTGTGTACTGATTCAGTCTGCATTTGATAAGGAGTATGTTTTAGAGTTGGATCACAAACGATCTTTTTCCCTACTCGTTCAGATATTTCTGCGTCCTGACATGTTCCATTGTATCGAAGTAAGCGAGGATTAAGACTCGCTGCATCCATAGTGGCATTTGGAATAATTACATAGCACGAATAACCTGGAAACAAAGGAACTTTTTAACAATGCATATACATGTTAAATGGCGATCTATAGAGTGTAAAAGACTCGCTTTCAACTAGTGGGTATCAATTTGGTTTACGATCTTTAAAAAATGGTCAGTAATGTTTGGAAAGCATTCTGTACTAAAAAGCGATAAAATGTAAGACCATATGGGTAACTTTCACTACTACTTTCAGTCGATTATCATCTATGTCCTAATGAAAGTTATGGCTTTATTCTAGCGTACGAGCAGATCACAAGTGACAATAACAAACAATGTATGATTATTATCAACAGGAACTCCAGAAAAAGGGATCTGAGATTCTACGAAAAATAAATCTCACTAAAATCTTCAAGATGGGTTACGTTTGGTATCTTAATAAACGCAGAAACTTCAATTTTATTCTACATGGGTCTAGAGGGACTAAAAAGAGCTTCATCCGGCGGAATATGGACATTATTATGAGTGAAAACGGGACTAATATGTGTTCCCGTACTAGGTAGGGATGGCAAATCGATTGATGAAGTAGTGAAACTTCATCAGTTGAGATGGCTGGGACATGTGTTACGTATGCCCGACCACCGACTGCCCCGACGTGCAATGTTTCATGGTGTAGGAGTAGGTTGGAAGAAAGCTAGGGGTGGCCAGACCAAAACGTGGCACAAATCAATGAAGTCACTGACAAGTGGACTGGGCCATGTTGGTAGGTGTAGACTACCTGGTTGGGATTCGCGAGATGACAGCAACCGATGGTTATAGACCTTGAATGACATGGCTCAAAATCGTTTGCAATGGCGAAGATGCATCCACTCTTTGTGTTCTACCAAATTCTAATCTTCTGAATTCCTCATGTCTTTATCTTTTTCTCTTTCCAAATTTATTTCACTGTACTATACTCCTTCAATAATTTCTTCAAACCCTAATCTTTTGGATTTCTACTACTTCTACCACTATGGGATTTGAGTCGACAACTGCATCTCTGTGCTAATGTGGTATGGCAACTCGAACTGATGTACGTACGTACGAAGTTCTACGTTGTGACTGACTGACCCGTTTCAGTAGATGAAAGGTCGAACAACACAAACCTTTACAATGAACAAAACAAAATGACACACATGAAGACAAAATTCAAACGTCGAAAATAATGTATTTAGTACTTAGTGGAGAACAAACAAGTTGTTGAGGTATCAAAAGTGATATTCGGTCACAACGTAGTCTTTTAACAACATACTGCGAGTTGTCAGATCTATTATTTTAATTGTTTTATGGAGTTCATTTAGGAACGCTATCGGATACCAAGTGTTTAAAACGAATGACGAAGCTACTCAGTCTCTTGCCAATTCTCAGCATGATTGCACAGTAATTTTCTTGATACTTTTACTCTAAACAATACAGGGTACTCAATTAAAAGGTGAAACAGCAAAACAGTCGGAATTTACTAAATTGAGATGTCAGATACTGACTTTTGACTGTACATAACAGACGTATTTATGCAGTAATTCTATCACACCTAGACAATGTTACAAAGATAATGGGAGACCAAAACGCAACAGCTTTCCCAAGTCCTTGGCTTTTAAAGGTTTTGAAACAAGACGGGGCAGTATACTTCGCTCTTGCCTACTCCTAATTAAAATATGATCCAAGATATTGAAATAAGTTTACAAGTTGGTACTAATAATTGCTACCAATATTCATTGGTGATCTTGTAATAAACTAAAGAAAGGAAACCTTTTCAGTAGACCAGCTATATTCCAGCATAAGTGAAGCTTTATGCACCTGTCAACAGAATATTAGACATATTATGAGACCAATCAGCACTTAACAAGGATGTTATACGACGGGTAAGAAGTAAACATAATGGCATTACTACCAGCTACTTTAAAAAAGGCTAATTGGTTTACTGTCTTGAACGTGGCTTAAAACTTACAGCTAGATAATCATATGTTGTGCAGTGGAAGGGAATGCAAATACATTCTACCCATGTTAAAATATGGCATTTTGGGTGATGATCTGTGTAGTGTCGCTAAGATAAAAGCAGTGTATGTTAAAGCAAAATGCCCAGTAAAGTTCAAAAAGCAGACTGACACAATGTAGTACATACTAGTACCGTTGATTAAATGCGTGGAATACGATTCGTGATCAGGGACCTAAAGACTCAAATGGCTGATATGAGGACATTTAGCCTGTAACTGGCATACCCTGCTAAGTAAAAGAAAACGGTTGATATCACTCAGTCAGTCAGTCACAACGTAGAACTTCGTACGTACGTACATCAGTTCGAGTTGCCATACCACATTAGCACACAGATGCAGTTGTCGATTCAAATCCCATAGTGGTAGAAGTAGTAGGAGTATAATCAGAAATCCAAAAGATTAGGGGTTTGAAGAAATTATTGAAGGAGTATAGTACAGTGAAATAAATTTGGAAAGAGAAAAAGATAAAGACATGAGGAATTCAGAAGATTAGAATTTGGTAGAACACAAAGAGTGGATGCATCTTCGCCATTGCAAACGATTTTGAGCCATGTCATTCAAGGTCTCTAACCATCGGTTGCTGTCATCTCGCGAATCCCAACCAGGTAGTCTACACTTACCAACATGGCCCAGTCCACTTGTCAGTGACTTCATTGATTTGTGCCACGTTTTGGTCTGGCCACCCCTAGCTTTCTTCCAACCTACTCCTACACCATGAAACATTGCACGTCGGGGCAGTCGGTGGTCGGGCATACGTAACACATGTCCCAGCCATCTCAACTGATGAAGTTTCACTACTTCATCAATCGATTTGCCATCCCTACCTAGTACTCGTTTCCTAACAACTGCATTACTTACTCGGTGGTTCCAGGATATACGAGCAATGCTTCGAAGACACCTATGATCGAACACTAGTAGCCTACGAATATCCTCTACTCTTATTGGCCATGTTTCACTGCCATAGAGTAGGACGGAGCGAACTGCTGCACAGTAAACCCGTCCTTTGGTTGCTAGACGGATACCTCGCCTACGCCATAAATGACGCAAGTTGGCGAAAGCTAGACGAGCCTTCTGTATCCGTGCTGAGATTTCGTCACATACCAGACCACAAGGGCTGATGAGACTTCCAAGATAAGTGAAGTGGTCTACACGCTCAACTACTTCACTCCCTATCATTAGTTCAGGTGTCGCTGCAACCCAATCCTGAAGTAACATTTTGCACTTCGATTGATATCACTTGACTTGTATATTACAGATAAACAGGAAGTTTGTTAAGAATCACGGATTGAGCTTATTAGAATGCATTGAGGATGCGAGTAACAAGTGGGAAGCTGCGTCATAGAAGAAATTTTTAATCGCACAGAAATCACTGATGATCGTAGAAATTTGCGTAAAAGCATATGCTTGTGATGAGATAATTCTAGAGAATTAAGCCGACGGACAAGACGTTGAGTGACGGGTGGTAAGGGGGTTCTGAACAGTGTGACGCCTAGAACTCAGATGAGAAAGACATCTGGCTTTCGAAATCCATAGAGTTTAAAAAGCTATTCAGGTAGTTTGGAAACCAATGGTGTTGGCTATATTTTACCATACTCTCTGGGATGAGCGGCGATTTCGTGGATAGACATGAACTGTGTAAATACTAAGTTAAGATCCTTGAACTTCAATTCTTTGCGAACATATTGATTCCATATTAATAGCTGCTGACTATCCAAATCTTAACAGACAGAATATTACTGTAAAACAGTTACTGGCCCGTGAAAACGTATTACTATAAACTTTACAGCACGGGAAGTTTTATGGGAAGCATAACTTACACCGAATGACCACCCCGAAAAACAAATTATCATAATCCTCATGTAAATGCCGGAAAAACTAGCCCAAGGTTACTCGTATGCAAACTAGGCGCTACAAAATACATACTATTCGATTTACAATTCCTTCAACTGGTTCAAAATGGTTCAAACTGTTGTGGACGAAAGCTTTCGCTTAACGGCTTCTGTGTCTAGTAGCAATGGATTACCAATAACTTCAGGCAGGAACCTATGTATATTAACAATAAAACAGGAAAAAGAAATAGGTAAATTATACTAAGATATTATCCGTAGTCCTTAAGAATAGGTCAAGCTGCCTATTAAAAAACTCCTGTGAACTCGCTTGAGCTAGCTCAGTAGGCAGAGAATTTCAGTATTTGACAACTTTTAAGAAGTAGAAGTTGTGTCTACAGCCCGTTCTGCTGTTTTATGTCTTTAGTTTCTGAGTGTCATCCCTTAGGATTTTGTTGGAACTAAACCTAATCAGGAGTTTAAGGGAATGTCCAAAAGTGTTAGGGATGCTGTAAGCCATTAGAAGGTCACATCCAAGATGCCTACACTCTACTGGGTAAAGGTTTGGTGATTGGAAGTCCAGTCAGATCCTCCTGAAATGCCAGTATATCCTCTTGGCTGCGTATTTCTCTCCAAAGTTTCACACCATCAGCAAAAATAATAAGTCGGACGATACCTGTTGTGGAACTTACTTACTTACTTACGCCTGTTACCCCTCGTCGAGGAGCATAGGCCGCTCACCAGCATTCTCCATCCAACTCTGTCCTGAGCCTTCCTTTCCAGTTCTTTCCAGTTGCTATTCATCCTTTTCATATCGGCTTCTATTTCCCGGCGTAGTGTGTTCTTTGGCCTTCCTCTTTTCCGCTTCCCTTCCGGATTCCAAGTTAGGGATTGAGTCGTGATGCACATTGGTGATTTCCTTAATGTATGTCCGATCCACTTCCAACGTCTTTTCCTTATTTCCTCTTCAGCTGGAAGCTGGTTTGTCCTCTCCCATAAAACGCTGTTGCTGATAGTATCCGGCCAATGGATGTTGAGTATTTTGCGTAGACAACTGTTTATAAATACTTGTACCTTCCTGATGATGGCCGTAGTAGTTCTCCACGTTTCAGCTCCATACAGTAGGACTGTCTTGACGTTCGTATTAAAGATTCTGGCCTTGAAATTGGTTGAGAGTTGTTTTGAGTTCCATATGTTCTGCAATTGTAGAAATGCTGCCCTTGCTTTGCCAATCCTTGCCTTTACATCTGCATCCGATCCTCCTTGTTTATCAACGATGCTCCCCAGGTACTTGAATGTTTCCACCTCTTCCAGAGTTTCGCCATCAAGTGTGATTGGGTCGGTGTTCTCCGTGTTGCATTTGAGAATCTTGCTTTTTCCTTTGAGAATGTGGAGGCCTATCGATGCGGAGGCTGCTGCTACATTTGCTGTCTTCATCTGCATTTGGTCGTGTGTATGAGAGAGGAGGGCTAGGTCATCTGCGAAGTCCAAATCATCTAATTGATTCTGAGAAGTCCATTGTATTCCGTATTTCCCTTCAGATGTCGAATTCGTCATAATCCAGTCAATCACTAGAAGGAAGAGAAATGGGGAGAGTAGACAGCCTTGTCTGACTCCGGTCTTTACTGGAAATGCATCTGTCAGCTGTCCTCCATGCACCACTTTGCACTGTAATCCATCGTATGAGTTTTGGATAATGTTGACGATCTTCTGAGGAACTCCATAGTGTCGAAGAAGTTTCCACAATGTTCTCCTATCCACGCTGTCAAACGCCTTCTCATAGTCGATGAAGTTGACGTATAGTGATGAGTTCCACTCAACTGATTGTTCAACGATGATCCGTAGTGTCGCAATCTGGTCTGTGCACGACCGATCCTTACGGAATCCAGCCTGTTGATCCCTAAGTTCGGCGTCTACTTCGTCTTTCATCCGATTCAGCAGCACTCTGTTGAAAACTTTTCCTGGTACTAATAACAAACTGATGCCTCTGTAGTTCTCACATTGGCTCAGATATCCTTTCTTTGGTATCTTGATGAGATATCCTTCTTTCCAGTCCGTTGGCACTTGTTCCTCTTCCCAAATCTTTTTGAATAGAAGGTGAAGCATGTTTGCAGTTATTTCAATGTCTGACTTCAGTGCTTCTGCTGGTATATTGTCAGGTCCTGCCGCCTTCCCACTTTTGATTTGTCTGATGGCCATCTTGACTTCTTCGATCGTTGGTGGAGTGACATCTATTGGAAGGTCTGTGTGGGCTGCTTCGATGTTCGGTGGATTCGATGGGGCTGGTCTATTCAGCAGTTCCTCAAAGTATTCTGCCCATCTTTTCCTCTGTTCCTGAATCTCAGTGATTGTCTTTCCTTCTTTGTCTTTGACTGGTCTCTCTGGTTTGCTATATCTCCCTGCCAATTTCTTCGTTGTATCATATAGTTGTTTCATATTCCCTTCTCTTGCAGCTTTTTCCGCCGCCGTTGCTAGTTCTCCCATGTATTTCTGCTTGTCGGCTTTAATGCTTTTCTTCACTTGCTTGTTTGCTTCTGCGTAGTCTGCTTGTGCTTTGACTTTCTCTGCTCGTGTTCGGCTGTTGTTAATTGCTAGTTTCTTGTTCTTCCTTTCTTGAAGTTTGTCCAGGGTCCCCATAGAGATCCATTCCTTGTGATGGTGCTTCTTAGGACCAAGAACCTCCTGACACGTTGAAGTTAGTGCTTCTTTTATCCCTTTCCAGTTGTCCTCCAAAGTAGTTTCTTGTTCTTTCAGTAGATCCTGTAGAGCTTGGAACCTGTTGTTGAGAGTTATTTTGAATTCATGGAGCTTGTCAGTATCTCGAAGGAAGGCTGTATTAAACCTTTGTAGTGCTGTTTGTCCAGTTGTCCAGTGTTTCTTTAGCTTCAGTCTCATCTTGGCCACAACCAGCCAGTGGTGATCTGAAGCTATGTCAGCTCCTCTCCGGGTTCTCACATCTTCCATTGATCTTCGGAATTTTTTGTTGATACAGATGTGATCAATCTGGTTCTCTGTGGTGTGGTCCGGTGAGATCCATGTAGCTGTGTGTATGCGTTTGTGTGGGAATATTGTGCCGCCTATAACCAATTTGTTGAAAGCACATAGGTTTGCAAGTCTCTCCCCATTTTCATTTCTTTCTCCTAGTCCATGTCGTCCAATCACATCTTCATATCCTGTGTTGTCCACTCCGACTTTAGCATTTAGATCTCCCATAAGGATGGTGAGGTCCTTTCGTGAGCACTTTGCTATAATTGATTGCAGCCTTTCATAGAACTGATATTTATCATCGTCGTTGCTATCATTGGTGGGTGCATAACATTGGATAACATTCATTGTGATCCCTTGCTTCTTTGTTCTGAATGATGCTTTGATTATCCTGGGTCCATGAGATTCCCATCCCACAAGTGCATTTCGTGCTTCTCTGGACAGCATTAGAGCAACTCCCTGAGTGTGTGGCGCATTTTCCCCTTCGTGACCGGAGTACAGCAGCATCTCTCCTGTACCTAGCCTTTGTTGTCCAGTTTGTGTCCAATAGGTTTCGCTGATTCCGAGTACTGCCAAGTTGTATCTCCTCATTTCCATTGCTATTTGGCTGGTCTTTCCTGTTTCCCACATTGTCCGGACGTTCCATGTACCTGTAAAGAGTGTTGCTCTGGTTGTTAGAAGGTGCATCGGTCTCGTGACTTCCGAAGAATTTCGGCTTTCATCATGAGACGTCATTATTCCTTCAACTCCCAGGGCAGAGTTTAAATGGTTTGGATTATTTTTTCTGGTTAGCGTTTTTTTAGCGAGTTAGCTTTTCTACGGGATGGGGTCGCTAACCCGATGCCCAACCCTCCTCCTTTACCCGGGCTTGGGACCGGCAGTAACTCTAGAAGAGCTACAGGCGGAGTTACCTGTTGTGGAAGATCGTTTATATAAATCAATAAGAGAGGAAGTTTTAGTACTGAACCCTGGGCGACCCCACTAGTAAGTTCCATAGACTGAGAGAAAGTGAAGTTAACCCTGACCTTAAGATGTCGATTTTTTAGATATGAAGTTAGCCAGTCAATGAGAGGTGGTTTGATACCCGATCATCTGAGTTTTTTGATAAGATATATATGGTTGACTTCATTAAAAGCTTTTGAACAATCAAGGTAGATGATGTCAACCTTCCCCTTGCGATCAAAGATGCTTGTCCACGTGTCCGACTCAGTCAGCAGGTTGGTTATACACGAGTGACCCTTTCTGAAACCATGTTGTTGGGGCGAGAAGAAGTTTAGGATTGATAAATAGTCATGTGTAGGGTCAGTGAAATGTCACTGAACCCTAGCCAAGTCATTCGGCAGTTGGGTCACCGAATATCGAACAGATCATCGATCCTTGTCAAAGTCAAAAGACAGTCAACGCGCACCAGTCAATCATACGCCATGGACTGGCCCACGCGGCAGTGGTTGTGCTTTCGCTTCTGTACTTTCGTGGTTGTACCTTAACTAATATATTCTTGTAATAACGTCCTTTATGTTGTACAGTCTCCATAGCGTCCATAGTCCCTTGCTACGTCGATGGGGACAATCCACTTAAGGTGCTGGTCGCGAGGTGTGATTTCAGCGTTAGTTGGTTCGTCACCATTCTCGTCTAACTCGAGTAGGCCTACAATCATTTCGACATAGATCATCAACGTTGATGTTTTACACATGTATACCGTTGCATATGAAGGACTACATAATTTGTGAAGGTATATAGAGAAGAGCCACCGGTCGGTAACTTGAAGATTCGCTGAGTCGACCTCCTTTGAAAATTGGTGTGATGTGAGCCAGCATCAAAATTTACTGTAGGTTGCCTCGACTAAGCGAGTGTGAGAACATCACGCTAAGCGGTGTTGCCAGGATTGAAGCTGCTTCCCTTAGTATAACAAAACGAACCATATCTGGGCTGTGGGGAGTGTCTTAGGTGCTGCAGTTTCCAGAACACCAATTCAGCGCTCACATTCAGGTCAGAATGTCCTGTGAAGCCTTCACCAAAATGTTTAATGTGGGTCGGTTGAGAGTCCAAGAGTATTGTTCAGTCAAAAGATTAGCGGCGTCACTATCGTTATTGATCAGACCATTAGG